ATAATAAAAAAAAAACAAATAAAACTTTAAATTTTGTTTAATAGGTGGATGAGAACGGAAAGATCCATAGATTGAGAAGAGAATGCCCTATGGAACAGTGTGGTGCAGGAGTCTTCATGGCTGCAATGGAAGACCGCCACTATTGTGGCAAATGCGGTTATACTCTTGTATTTAACAAGCCTGACGATAAATAAATTTTATTTAATTAAAAGAATTTCGTAAAAATAAGGTTTTTTTTTATAACTCTATATGTCTATTGAATTAAATAACCTCATATAATCTTATATTTATTATTTTATTATTATTTTTCATGATATTTTATACTCTTTGTACTTCTATTATTTTCATAATGTTAGTGGAAAAAAAGAATTTTATTAAATTAATGCAAAAAATATTTACCTGACAAAGTTCTGGATGTGTTTCCCTAAAACTAACGCTTTTACAATACAGTCCCATTCATTTTATTAGATATTTAATTGCATACTTCGCCGTTTCACTGGCGCTGTAATAGAAATATGACAAGTAAGGTTAAGTGTTTGTGTCATATTGTGTAAATAGTAAACACAAATAAATTTGTCTTTATTTTCATGAGTATAAAATAATCTATAAGCTACTCATACATTGTATATTGATTATATATTCTATGTTATAATACTACTTTTTGATTTTTAAAAATATCAAAATGAGGCAACAAATAATTGACACGAAAATTAACTTACACACATCTGGTGAAGCTGATGAATGCCTTTTTGAATATTTACACGCTGAGATGGTTAATTATGCTCTGAGTAAATCATGTAAAAATAAGGTATTTATAGAAAATACAATAAATTTAATAATGATTTGATAATTTCGTTTAATCTGATGTTATGTAAATGTTTAAGTATGTGTATCCTTATTTTATATTTTACTGTATAGTTGTGTAACAAAATGTTTTTTTATATAAAATTTTTTAATATTTATAAGGTAATAAAAAATTTCAATATTTTAAGATAATATAGTAGTAAAACTAGTCACGAATCACAATCCATTTAAAAATACATATTACTAAATGAAAAATATACAAAAAAGTATTTTAGCTCTGTAAACGTATAATTAGTATATTTTAAATTCTAAAAACTTATGTTATTTATTATAAAAAGAAACCATAAATGCTTAATAATTTTTTACAATATCATTGGTATAAATAATAATTATTAATTTTTTAATGTATCAGAAATTATAGAGTTTAATATTAACTTGTTTTAATATTTAGATTATGATTAAAAAATTTTTAAATTATAAACATTATAACTTTAACATCTTATTTATAATAATTTAATTAACTTGTTTAATATATAAAGGAAGGGGAAGAAGAGCTATCGCGACTAGAATGGATGGGATTCAGTGTTGGGTACAGAATTATTGAACGATTGACACGGGAATGGAATCGATTCAAAGATGAATTGGATATGATAAAATTTATTTGTACTGATTTTTGGTCCAGCCTTTATCATAAACAAATTGACAATTTAAGAACAAATCATCATGGTGTATATGTATTACAAGACAATTCATTTCGATTACTGAATAAAGTAGGTACTAACAGTAACAAGCAATATCTTCAAGAAACTCCACGCTTATTGACATTTACTTGTGGACTTTTAAGAGGAAGTTTAGCAAATCTTGGAATTATTAGCACTGTTAATGCAGAAATTTCTACATTACCAAGTTGTAAATTTCATGTACAAGTTCAAAGAATTTAATATTAATAAATACAAAGCAGAATATGTATAATAAAAGTTCATGCATGTTATGAAAGAGTATATCTAATAGTTGGATTTTTCATAAGTAAAAATAGAAAATTAGATCAAAATCAGAAAAGAATATTATTTGTAATATCATTATTAAAGAATATTATTTGTAATATCATTATAAAAAGTAGTAAAGTCTTGGAAAATAAGTTTTTCATATTAATTTCACAAATAAAATAGTTTTATGTTTTAGCTATAATAGATGATACATTAAAACATACGTTTTATTTATATTTTACAAATCGTATATTTTAATATATAAATTAAATATGTAAAATTAGTTATCTAATAGTTCTACATTTTTAAGTATTTGTACTTTAAACGCAATATGCATTTAATTTAGGTTACTAAGTACATCCAATTTGTATTTGTAGTATAATAAAAATAAAAAATATAGAAAATACGATTGTAATCAAATAATTCATTAAAATAATTTTAAAATTGATTTAATAATTATATGTTAATATCTAAGGTTTAAGTTGTTAAATAATTATTAGATACTGTACCATTATTTTTGGTAATAAAGTTTAAAATATGAAACTGGTTTACAATCCCAACAAAAGCATCATTACATTTATCATCTAAAATTACGGCATATGGTTCTTTTTCAAGAATTCGTGATAAATATCCAAGAGATGCTGAATATTTAACTTTAACGTATTGTTTAATCATAGTCTTTTCTACAAAGTCTGTACATTTTACTGTACCAGATATTATATTTGACATAAGTTTATTCAAACTAATAACACCTTTTATATGTATATTATTATCGCTAATAAGTAATAATTGTAAATCTGTTTTCTTAATCATATGAATAGCTTCTTGACATGTTATTGTATTTTCTTTCAATAAAGATTGTTTATCAAAAGTTAAGTTCGAAATTTTCATATTCCACCACCATTTATTTGTTTCATTTTGACATGTGGGTTGCTGTAATTCATTATTCAATCAATAATTCATTATTTAATTTTATAATAAGAAGATGCATATAAAAATTATGATTTACCAAAAATCCTTTAGCTTCCATCCAATGGTCTGATACAAATTTAGTTAAATAATTCCGTATTCCGTCAGGTAAAATAATAACCATACGTTTTCCTTCAGGAACGTCTTTAGCTATTTTAAGAGCAGCTGCAAGTGCAGCACCACTACTAGCACCGCACAATAAACCTTCTTGATGTATAAGCTTTCTGGCAGTATTCAATGATTCATAATCGTCAGTTTTTATCCATTTATCAATAACACTATAATCTAACACTGTAGGTATAAAATCATAGCTAAAAACAATTTTATTTATCATTTAATATGGAAAAAAATATTATATTTCAAATATAATAGAATTAATAAAGTAGAAATATAATAGAATTAATAAAATATAATAAAATAGAAAAAAAATATTATACCCAATTCCTTCTACTTCATAAAAACCAATTTCATCTTTTGATTCTGGATCTAAAATACTTCCTTTGGGATCTGCAGCAATAATTTCTATATCTTGTGACAATTCTTTTAGTTTTCGTCCTACACCTGAAATAGTACCACCTGTACCCGCACCAGCTATCAAATAATCTAATTTTCCATCACATTGCTTCCAAATTTCAGTTGCTGTTTGATCATAATGGGCCAATGGATTTCCAGGGTTAGTATACTAAGCAATATAATATATTATAAATATAAAATAATAAAATATATATAATATAATATAAATATAAATAATAAAATATAAATATAATATAATATAA